GAAGAAGTGAATTGCTCTGATTTGTCGTGTCAGTAGAGTATTTTGTATATTTCAACTATTTTCAGGTGAAAATTGAGTTATCTATAGAAAATACACATAGGATAATATCGAGGAATTTCCACTCACTATCCTTTCAGAATTTCTCTATTGAATTACTTTGGATGAATTTGAATAATTTTTTATGAATAATCATGTAAAATAATATCAATATCTATTTAATATTTTTGAGAGAGTTCGTCTATACGTATGCATATGAAAAATATTTTGCTTTAGATTGAAATTAATCAATCATGATTAAGAATTTACTCTACTCATATGTCTTATTGATTTTATTTGGTTTTTCCAAATTTAATATGATTCTTTCATGTACTGGAACTTCAGCATTGAAAAACAATGATTCAACATGGGCACGATGGATAACTACAGCTTGTGATTTATTTCTCTCAATCTTATTAGGTTTTGGTTTATCTTCACTAATAAATTATTATCAACAGCGAAAAGTCAAATCTATCCTTCAAGTATCAACTGAACAAATCATGAGTAAATGTGAGAGAAAGCTGAAATTCAATAAGCATATACCCCAAAAGACTTTATCTGAGTTTGTACCGTTACAACCTTACCGAGTTATTGTCATTCGACAACAAACATCACCTGTCATCATCAATGAATTAATTATCGAAGCTCGAAAAACAAATAGATTTACAATACATCCATATGATTATAAGTCTTCTGGTGATCATTATCTGGAAATAGAATTCTTACAACAATCTTCTTCTATTATAATTTCTATAGAAATTTTTCATCAACAGAATCTTTTATTTGAAAGAATCGATGATTTTCTCTCGATTATCTTACATCCATCGAATATGATTTATACTTGGAAAGATTTTGATAAAAATTTAATCGATTATCAAAGTTATCAAGTCTTTTTAAATGGTGACATAAATCAATGTCATTTCGTCAATGTTCAAAATTGTTTTAAAACGTGGTATAATACAACATTTGGTCATAATCAAAATTGCAATCAGCTTCTTGATTTTAATGATATCGATGGTCCATTATGTTCATGTTCACATCGACCTGTTAAATGTCCAACTGAGCAATGGTCTTTAACAAATGCTATTGCATACACATTTCATCAAAACTTCTCTAATGGAAGTACTAGTTCAAAAACATGTCCAGCCATTACAAAACTATTTAATATTATTCAAAACAACTGGACACGTCAACAGATAGAATATTTCCGAAAACAATGTCATATCAATTCACCAGTAAAAATTCATCTATGTTTAATAATACATATAGGGAAAAGCATATTTTTCTATTCTAGAATGGATAATATTTCTCTATTTTCATCAAATCTATATGCAAGAAATGAACTTTCTGATTTTTTTTGTCTCTATGTAAAATAACTGTTATAATTTTTACTGTTCTTTCTTTTTATTCTACTATATATAAGCTTTCTTTAATCTTCATACATGATTAGAAACATTATATTGTCTGTTTTCTTTTATTGTAGATAACTATCGCATCATCTGACAAAGACAATCTTCTACAAGATTCAAAACATGTTATGAAAATGACGCCTGTCTTACTGACATCATTTTAATGAAAAGATGAATACATTTATTAGATTTTGTCTATGCTTCTTTTCTTTTTGATTTAGTCATCTAATGAGAAAAAAGAATCGAGAAGAATACAGTAAAGATAGCCTACATTCGTTGTTTCACTTTAAGTTTCTTACAATATGATATAAATAATTTTATAGAACTAGTACTAGAAGAAGGAGAACAATTTTACAGTAGAAATCTCTCTATGATCTAATCAGTTTTATTCATGATAACGAAAAATAATTTCCATTTTCCTTTTTTTTAACAAAGAAAAAAAAACTTTGTCTATTCATAATCATACTCAATTTTTCTCTTTCAGATTTAAAGCGAAAAATGAGCAATCATTCATTATATGCATATCTTTCCTGTATAATCATGTATCTTTCAATCATTCATCCCGTTTCTAGTTATAACGACACTTTAGTATGTGTGAGTAATAGTACAATATGGTCACAATGGATACATATGATGTCTGATTCATTTATATCGATCTTACTTGGTATTATTATATCAACATTAATAAACTATTACCAACAACAAAATCTTATATCTGTTTTTGAATCAACTATTGCACAATTCCGCATAAAAACCATAGAAGATAATCAGATAAAAAAGCATAAAAAATCAAAAATTTTATCCAATTTTAAACCATTGCGACCGTACAGATACTTTTATATGAATGAAACAACATTACCATCCATATTTGAAGAATTATTTGATGAAATAAAAGAAACAAAAACATTTACAATAATACGCTGTGACCCATGGTCATTCAATAAACAAAATATATTAATAGAACTCATCAAACCTTCCTCATCAGTACAAACTTTTCTGAAAATTTCTTTTGGAGATGACTTTGACCATTTCCGCCTCGATGAATTACTTTCAAAGATTTTTCAAGTAGTGGATACAATACAAACATGGGGGGATACGAACCAACGTTTATTACTTGAAAAAATTTATCGTGATTTCCATCATGTGCAAGTGAACAAAATTACTATAAAAGATATTCAGCAATCGTTTAAAACATGGTATAATACAACATTTAATCATAATGCAAATTGTGGTCAAATCCTTGATTTTGATGATATAGACGGTCCATTATGTACCTGTACACATCGACCTCTTAAATATGTTAATAATCAATGGTCTCTAATCAATGCTATTGCATATACATTTCATGAAAAGTTTGGTACGGAAGAACAAGGTCTTCAAGCAATTCTAGCCCTATCCAAACTCTCACTGGTAATTCGTGAAAACTGGAATGCTCAACAAGTTCAAGATTATATCAGCGAACATCAAGCACCTGAAAAAGTAAACATCCATTGTTTCAAATTCATCGTGCTCAAACTATTTTTCTGTTTTAGAATGGATAATCTAACTTTCACATTCTAATATATATATAAACTGCTTAAATCAGTGAACTTGTACATACTTTTAATAGATCGTATCAATTCTTATTATATTTTCTTCATGTTACCTTTTCTTTCACAAAAGTATATCATAAAGTAGACTCTCTCTTTGATTGTACATAAATATACCAGCAACAATTAGAAGTTCAAATTTCTAATAAACATGGAAACAGTCTTATCAATCAGCTTTCGATTATGTAACATCTCTATAAAAAGGCCAACATATAAAATATTCGAACGCATACTCCAGACTATCTAATGTTTCTGTTCGAAAGAAACTGAAACTAGATGGACTCAGATTCGAGACAAAATGGTTCATATTTTTATTCTTCTAGATCGATATAATCTCTCTTTTCATTCTATCAGAAACACTTGATTTGTCGTTCACAGATTGGAAATTTATCGACAACAATCAGGTAACTACATCATAAGTCGCCTCTTTTTTTTCGGGAAAGTCTTGACAAACTAATAATTATTCGTTGAAAGGTATGGATATGACCAAGGACAATGGTAATGATACCAAGAAGACAGTTTTTCAACAGCAGAATATCGAAAATCAAAATTGCAATGAATTTAATACGAGTCAAGTGCCAGTTTCTCGACAAGAACAAAAAGTAAGAGTGATGTTTTTGCTCTTTTATGAAAATCATATTACTTGAAAAATATTTAGAATCTAACATCTATACAACTGAACAGCTACCGTGAGAAGAATAGAATGACACGTATGCCAATAATATTTGAAGATGAAACTGATAACAATGAAGAATGGATTTCCATGGATGAAGATAATGATAACACATGGATTTTATATGATGACAACAATGGTGAAGACGAAGATAATCAGTTAACTTCTCATCATCAAGAGCCAGAAGAATTCAAAGATCTTGATTGGAATGATGTACCCAATTTTATTTGTCAGCTGAACTATAATCATTTAAAAGGATATGAACGCCATCAGGTTGAAGAAGAAAATCGTACTATCCTATCTAGCCGACGTAGATTAGTTGCTAAGAAGGCTATTATCAGATTACCATACAAGAGCACTTCATTTTATATTGCTTCTGAAAAAGACTTTCAACAAAAAGAAGTCGATTATATGAACCGAACAGGTGCTTACAAATGGATACATACATTAGATGATGCTCATAGTCATGTCAGTGAAACATGTCTAGTGGAAATGATTGAGCAAGTTGAACGTATATTAGATGATTTACTTGATTCAAATTGTATCCATCAAGCACAGCATATGATCATGACTTTTGTTCGAAGTTCGGTTCGAATGCATTATCTGTATTTTGTGCCAGAAACTCATAAAGTATGTAGGCTATCGATTTGTTCTCTTGTCTTCCTTCTTATTTATCATAAAAACCTATCTAGGAAAATATTCCAGTTCGACCGATCTTCGTCTGTAATAATGGGCCTACAATAAACATAGTCCGTTATATAACTCCACTTCTATGGTCAATCTTTGATCGAGCAACTAATTGCAAACGATTTTCAAATGGTGCTATTGATGTTATCCATGCTATCGAACATGATGCTCATATGGATCACTTTCAATCTCCAATTCTTTTTGTCACATTCAATTTAGATGATTTGATCAACATTTTTCCTCATGATGAAACCATAATTGCCTT